GCGGCTCCGGCCAGAGTTGGGGGCGCCGCGGCGTGCTGAGCTGGCGGGGCTCACTGGGGTTCGGGTGTCTTTTCCCCAGAGTCGGGGTGCGGCCCCAGGACTTCCTGCAGGTGCTTCAGCGAGTCCAGCTGTCCGGCTCCCACACACAGGCCGTCGTGGAGGTATTCGGGCCCCCCTTTCCCCGGCCCTCCCTAGCCCGTGCTTCCGGGCTCCGCCCAGAGGTCCCCTCGGCCACCAGCCCCCTTTCACCACCAGGGTGTCGTTTCAGATCCGCCGGGGCTGGCCTGGGCCGGGTGGGGCTGGGGACGCGGCACTGTCCTGTCCCGGGCCCGCCCTCCCCTCGGCCCGGCTGACCGGGGTGCGTTTCCCTCCGCAGAAGGTGCGTTCCTATGGTGGCGACCTGCTGTCAGCCGGCGAGTTTCAGAAACTCTTTAATGAGTTTGACAAAAGGGTGATTAAAGAGGTAACCGGGGCCAGGCCACGGGGGTGAGTGGGGAAGGTTGCAGAACCTGTTGGCTTCCATCCCTTGGGTGACGCTAAGCGACCGGTGCCAGGACCCGCCTTCCCAGGGATTCCAGCCCCTAGAATGGTAAATGGCTCTTGGAAGCCAGAGTGGTCTTGTCAACCTTATGTACTTCACAGACCACAGGGACTGGCCTGGGCCAAGTCTGACCCAGAGGAGCTGTGCACAGGGTTTTCCCTGTCTTCACGACAGACTCTTACCTGCTTCCGTGCGTCCTTCCCCAGGACGGTCCCGAGTTTGTCTAGAGCCTTTGTTTTGGTCCTTGACGCCGATTTGTCAAGTCCTCATGTGGCCCTTGGCATCCAGCTCAGCCCTGTGTCCACCTGTTCTGGGTTAAGCTTTCAGTCACTAGTGCGTGACTGTCCTCTACTCTTTCACACACACTTTGTGTTGTGTGGGAAGCGCTTGGCATATATTCAGATGGTGACCGCATGTTCTGTCGCAGTTTACGTCGCGGTCCGTGGCCAGTTAGAGTCTCTCTAGTCCTCTTTGACGTTAGTAAGATGACCGTGATGTTCATTTTAGCGTGTGTGGCGAGTGTTTGAGGTTATTTTGTTGGGCTGGCAGACAGGGGTAAGAGAGGAGGTAGGAAGGAGCGGAATCCCAGAATAAAGGGGGACGGGCCCTGCTGGGCTGCCGGCCGCCTTGGCCCCTGCAGGCGCGTGCTGCTGAGCCCGTGTGCGTCTCCTCCCCAGCCCCCGCCACGGCCCGAGTACCCATCTCCCTTCCTGAGGAGGGCCCAGATCGTCTGCAGCCACCGCTACTTTGACTACCTGGGGAACTTCATCGCCCTTGGGAACCTCGTGTCCATTTCTGTGAGAGCGGGCTCACCCTCATGTGGATGTGGGAGGCACCTCGTTGCCCCCTCCCTGACCGTGGCCTTGGCACCCGGGCGCCGGGCCGGGCTGGCGAGCCGCCTCCCGCTCTGGCTTTGCAGGTGTTCCTGGTGATAGACGCAGACGTGCTGCCCGAGGACCGAGACGACTTCGTCCTAGGGGTGAGCTCTGGGGACATGTGGCTGGCAGGCGTTCACCAGGGTGACGGGGAGTCAGCGGGAGCGAGAGGGCACAGCCTCCCCCTCCCTGGGGCTCTTGTGGTGCAGAGCTGCTCCTTCCACTGTGGGGTACCCCCACAGGACGGTGGAAGAGGTGGCCAGGCCCGGGAGGGGCTGGCAGGGCAGAGGCGGCAGGTGGGGCCGCTGGCGTCTTCCGGCCTTGTGTGGCCCTGGGATGGGAGCTCCCCCACCCAGTTGCTGCTCAGCCCTTTCTGGAATGGCGAGCGCCCCTCCTAACGCTACACAGTCTTTTCAAACTCCTTGAGAATGTAAAAACAGTGTTTTCACGTTGAATTTTAAGCAAGATAGCCCCAGTACCCCCACAGTACTCAGTGCCAGCACTCTAACAAGCAGGTGTTTCTTATATGTATATATATATTTATTTATTTTTAAAGATTTTATTTATTTATTTGACACAGAGAGAGAGATCACAAGTAGGCAGAGAGGCAGGCAGAGGTGGGGGGAAGCAGGCTCCCTGCCGAGCAGAGAGTACGATTTGGGGCTTGATCCCAGGACCCTGAGATCATGACCTGAGCCGAAGGCAGAGGCTTAACCCACTGAGCCACCCAGGCGCCCCCAAAGCAGGTGTTTTAAAGTTTACTTTGACGAAAGATCTTGTGAACAATTTTTAAACTGAAGAAAGTGCGTAAACGTTCTCTGATTACATAGGAAAAAGCTTTTATCTGATATACAGCTGACACAGTATGTCGTGCACATTAAACACAGACTAGACTTTATCGTGGCTTCGAAATGGGAAAAATGCCTTTCCTGACCTGACGCTTGAAATTCCTTTGTCTTATCCTTCAAGTCCAGTTCTTAGCTTTCTTATTTCCATTGTATTTCCTTCCTGGATGACGCTGGGGGCTTCTCAGGCACTGGAGAGGCGACTGGTTTTTATTCCTGATGAAGTCAAGTTGGATACAGTTGACTTGTATTTTATCTTCTTTAACAGTAGTGGTTAAGCACGGGGGTCAGCGTGATTGTGAGAGACGTGATTGCCGCGTGGGGGTTTTGGGGTGCCTGTGAAGTTCCATCCTTTTCTGCCCCTTGATAATTGCTCGTGATACGGGGTCAGGAATGCCTTAACGGTGACCTCATCGCGGGTGTGAGTGAGGCAGCATGAAGAATGTGGAGTTTAGGCTGGACAGCGGGGAGAGGTGACTGCAGCGGCCATCTGACCCCACGTGTCCCTCCCATGGCTCTGTGCTCACTGGGGGAGGGTGCCAGGAGGCTCCCAGTAAGGAGGGAGCCCCTCTGTATTTTACTGACTGGCTTCAAAGGGGACAGTGACACAGTGGCCTGTGGTGACCTTCGAAGCTAAGACCTTCTCTGTCCCCCCCCACCCCCCAGCACCAGGGGCTGGGAGGACACTGCTGAGAGCCAGGCACGCCCACCGGGGAGGCCACTGCCCATGTGCGCTGTTAGAGGTTGCCCCGATGTTCCCATGGAGAGTGGCCAGGGGGGGTCAGGACAGAGAACTGGGAGCGTGGGCTCGGGTGGCAGCCGTGGGGAGGGAGAGATGTGGCCACACAGGGGCTGGTGGGGTGGGGTGGCGGGGGTGACCCAGGCCCTGCAGGCCCAGAGGGGATGGAGGGCCAGGAGAGCGGCTGTGCCAGTTGTCACCGAAGCCAGCGTGGGGTACTGGTCACCGAGGGGAGGCTGTGGAGCAGGGAGAGGTGGGGTGCTGGAGACGCCCCGTGGCGGGGGGGGGTCGTGTGGGAGGAACAGCCCCAGGTGCCCCGAGGAGCCAGTGAGGGGTGCACAGGGGCCGGGCTGCCTGCTAGGTCCCTGTCTTCCTCTCAGATTCTCAACTGCGTCTTCATTCTTTACTACCTGCTGGAGTTGCTGCTGAAGGTGTTTGCCCTGGGCCTGCCGGGCTACCTGGCCCATTCCAGCAACGTGTTCGACGGCCTGCTCACCGTCGTCCTGCTGGTAAAGTTGGAGATGGGCCGGGCCGCCGGCTTCCTTGGGCGGGCAGTGTGTTCTCTGCAGCTGGCTCTGCGCTGTGTCCATATCAGGCTGTCCCTCGGGAGTGGAGGCCCCCAGGGATTTGGGCTCCTGCCTCCAGGGACAAGGGGCTTTTTCTCCAGCGTGAGCCGCATGGTGGGCCACCAGCGGGGGCCGGTAGGAGGCTGGGTTCCCGAGGCATCTGAGCGCGGTGGGGGCAGGCTGCCTCTCCGCCCTGGAGCGGGGCCTGGAAGGAGCCCGGGGTCCTCACCTGCTAACCAGCCCCAGCCACAGACCTAAGGATGGTGGGACCTTGGGGAGGATGGAGGGCGGGGTGGGGGTGGGTCTTGGGCACCCTCCCAGAGCCCACTGGAGTGGAGGGTCCCGTGTGGTATGTGTGTCATGGCAGCCATCCTGGTATAGTGTTTATTCGTGTTTGTTGTGGGCCCCTTGGGACAGGAGCAAAGACGGTCAGAGAGAAGGGCCTTCTGTCTGCCCTTGACCTGGGCCTCCACCAGCCTTTCCGGTATCGTGCCCTCTGGGTGTGCGGGCCGCTGGGTCCCGAGACCTCGGTGTTTTTCTCAGCCACAGGAAGCCCCACGTTTGGAACCAACCCATGGGGACAAGAATGGAGCTCTGACTTCTCCCCAGATCCCTCTGGTGGGGAGCGTGTTACACACAAGCTGTAGAGGTCAATCGAAAGCCGTCTAGATAGGTGTTGCTGTAGCGATGCCTTCTCTTCTTTTGTAATTAAAGGTTTTGGAGATCTCAACTCTGGCTGTGTACCGATTCCCACACCCGGGCTGGTATGTGACTGGAGAGAACCGAGGGAGGCTACAGCAACCAGCGCCCCACCAAGGCACCAGGGGAGGGTGGCCTGGGCGCCCCAGCCTGCCTGCTCGTGCTGCTCGGCTCCAGGGTGAAGCCCCCGGTGTTAGGAGGGCAGACAGCTGGGCGCTTGGCCAGCTGAGGACTGTGGGAGCTGTCCCCCCCCTCGCTCTTAGGGAACAGGTCCTAAGTCGCCGTCAGATGACAGCGTTCCCAGAGCTGGGACAGGCCTATAGAGGGCAGCGGGCTCAGCCCCAGAACCAGGATGGAACGGGCGGCCCCCTGTGTCCCGGGTTGTGGAGACCCGCATCTTAGGGCTGGGGTGACCCCTGAGCGCTGGAATAGGGCTGGAGGCCGTGTGACTGATGTTGGCATGTCCCCTCCCACTCTGGGCTTGGGTTTAGTGCCCTGGAAGTTGGCAGGGACGGGGCTGCTTTATGAGTCCCACTGCCCCCACTTCTGGCCGCAGAGCAGTGCGCATGTCTGGGCCGGGGTCCCAGAGTGCCTCAAAGTGTGGCTTGTGGAGGCTGTCAGGGGGCGTTGCCCAGAACACAGTAGTGCCAGCCAGTGGCCTTGCCGGCCCCGGGCATCCTGGCAGCCCTGGTGTCTTGGCAGGTCTGTGGGCTGCCTTCCTTCTAGTGGAGCAACTGGAAAGTGCTGGAGACGGGGAGTGGGGCCAAGAGACTTGCTTTAGGGTCAGCTGGCCCAGGAAGGGTCTACCTGGGGCAGACAGGTCGGGCTGGACCTGTCCTCAGTGGTGTGGTGGGGCATGGCGGCCGCAGGGCCACCCTCCCTCATTTCTGAAACGCATGCGGGAGTCCCAGGGGAGCGTTGTGCTGGGGAACGGGTTTCCAGTTGGATGGAAATGAGAGCCGGCTGAGCCCCTGAGTGACACCCAGAGGGGCCCGGTACAGGATGGGGTCACAGGATAGGGGATGCGGCTCAGGAGCCAGGGTCAGGCAACAGGGACAGGAAATGAGGTCAGAGGATAGGACCGTTGCTAGGGGTCAGGGGTCAGGGGTCAATGCACCGGCTCAGGGACCAGGTCCCTCCTTCTTGTGCCAGGACCTGAGCTGGGCGTTTCAGCGTTTGGAACCTGAGTGCTCTCCTGGGTAAGACGAGGGGTGTGATAGCCAGTGCCATCCTGGGCTGGCAGGGGTGGCCATCCAGTCTCCGTCCTGTGCCCGTGACAGAGGCCCGTCCCCCTGCCCGCCACTTGCTCTCTGCATCTGTCTTTGTCTGAACACGCATCTCCCTGTCTCCCTATTGCCGGCGTCTCGAGGCTCTCCCAACCCGTGTCCCGTGTGTCTCTCCAGGAAGCCAGAGACGCTGGGCCTGCTGTCGCTGTGGGACATGGCCCGGCTGGTGAACACGCTCATCGTGGTCCGGTTCCTGCGCATTATCCCGAGCCTGAAGGTATGTGGGCAACTGACTACCTGGCTTGCCTCCCTGCCGTCCAGCTCCCACTCCTGCATTGCTCTGGAGAGTGGCTGGGCCTGGGCAGGGCCGAACTGAGACCAGGACGGTCCCCCTGGGTACCCTGGTCCCCTTGGGCTGTGTCCCCAGCCATGTACTGCTGCTGGGCAGTGCTGGATGTCAGCGTGAGCCTGCGAGCGGCCCAGCCCTGCTTGTCTCAGTTCGGTCCCCCTGGGTACCCTGGTCCCCTTGGGCTGTGTCCCCAGCCACGTACTGCTGCTGGGCAGTGCTGGAGGTCAGCGTGAGCCTGCGAGCGGGCGCTTGCACGGACCAGGACAGGGAGGGCTGGCGCGGGCGGATGGGTGTGGGGCACCTCGGGCAGCCCTAGGGATAGCTCTGTGCTCTTTGAGGCCATCGGCGTTTGTGCGGGGTGGGGGCTGGAGCCCTTAGAGCCAGTGTGTTCCTGGGTGTCCTGAGGTTTCCGGAGGCCATTGGTGTGGGCCTTTCGTGGCTTCTGGTACTGAGGGCCAAAGGCGAGATTGGCCCAGGCACTCCCCTCCAGGTCCCCCAGTACAGGAGAGGGCGTGTGATTGGCTGGGTGCCAGGCTGCTCGACTCCCAGTCCTGGTGGCTCGTGACTGTCTGTAGGCCTCATCGTCTCCTCATGTATCCACAGGGAGGGACACCAGCCTTGAGGGGAGGGGAGCTCGGTGAGCAGGGCCTTTGGGCCCGGAGCCCGCCCAGCACAGAGGTAGGGTTCGCTCCTCCTGTCCGTTTTCCCAAGAACTTTTCTGGAGAGAGGAAACCAAGGACATCAGAGACCTTTCTGTGTGTCCAGGACCTTCCCCCCGGCTCGTCTGTCCTTCCTGGGAAGCTGCCCACCTGTGCCATTGGGGGCTCCCTGTTAGCTAGTGGGCTCTCCCGTCGCAAGGTGGCCTGGCGGCCCTGGATGTGGATGGGGGCACTGTGCCCGGTGGTCGCGCACGCCACACCCGCATGTGGTCACACACAAGCACGCACAAACGCACACGCCTACCCACATTTTCATGGCGGCACGCACCTGTAACCGTGCGGACGTGACATACCTGCATTGTCGCCACAGACTCCAGCCGCACGCACGCGCTGAACACGCACGCGGCCGTGTGCACAGTCTCACGTGTACACGCAGGCAGAATGTACACGCACGCTGCCGTGCCCACACACTACATACACACGCACGCACGTGGCCGTACGCACACACAGTGACCCATACGCCCACGAGCACGCGTCCACACGCTGGCTCTGGGTGTCGGCATCTCTGGTTACAGGCTGACGGGAAAGCCATTCTGTGGGGCTCAGGTTCCCGTGTCCGGGGAGCAGCCCTCTATAGCCGGGGTGCCTGGCTGGGTCAGCCCCTTCCCAGGCCTGACCGCGGGTGAGCTGCAGACTTCAGGTCTGCACTTCTTTGGAGTCTCTGGACCCGAGAGGCGCTAACCCAGCCTTCGTGGGCGCTCGGCAGCGTGACCTGAGCTCCCGCGCGTGTGGGCTTCGCGGAAGGGACTGGGATTGAGACCGTCTGCGTCTGGGTGGATGGTGGTGTCTGTGTGTACGGTGTCTGTGAGCATGTATGGTGTGTGTCTGTGCCTCTAGATGGATGGATGTGGGTGTGTGAGTATGTGGCCGTGTTTATGGGGGGCCGTGGGGTGCACGTCTGGGCGTGTGTGCAGGTGGAGGGCCGTGGGGTGCGCCTACATGTGTGAACGGGCGGGCGGCTGACTGGCGTATGCGTACGGGTGCGTGGGTTGTTAGTTCACTGGTGCTTTTCCGGGTCAGGGTCAGGGTAGTGGGCAGGGTTGGTGTCCCCTCAGTGGGGCCAGGAAGAATAGGACCTGCTGTCCTTCTGTCCTCAGCTAATGGCTGTGGTGGCCAGTACCGTCCTGGACCTGGTCAGAAACATGCGGGCTTTTGGCGGGATCCTGGTGGTGAGTCTGGCCGGCGGGTTCTGGTGGGATCCTGGTGGTGAGTCCGGCCGGCGGGCTCTGGCGGGATACTGGTGGTGAGTCCGGCCGGCGGGTTCTGGTGGGATCCTGGTGGTGAGTCCGGCCGGCGGGTTCTGGTGGGATCCTGGTGGTGAGTCCGGCCGGCCGGCTCTGGCGGGATCCTGGTGGTGAGTCCGGCCAGCGGGCTCTGGCCAGCGGGGGGTGCGGCACGAGCGGAGCCGCCTGTGGGTTCCGGTGAGTCTGAGCGAGGCTGGCTGGCCGCTCTGGAGGAAGGAGGGCCCTGTGTTAGGGGTGGCTTTAGGGCTGCGTCAGCCCGGGAGGCCAGAATGTTCCCTGGACCCTGGGGCTGGTCCTGACCATGCTGCCGTTCCCTGCTGGAGGTGCGTCGGTCACTTTTTATTCCCCATGCGTGTTGATCGCAGGCCATACTGGGACACTGATTTTGAAAAGTGTGAGAGGCATTAGGGATCCCCGAGGCCCATGTAGACCCCAGATGGGGCTTTGGTCAGCCCTCCCTGCGCAGTGGGATCTCGGGAACTCACAGCCGTGGTGGCTGAGGACAAACCACGGCATCCCCCCAGCTCCAGACCGAGCCTTGCCACTGAGCTGCTGTTGGCTCTGCCCTGTCACCCCGCTCAGGGGGACCCCTGGTGCTGCTCTAGGTGTGAAGCCCCACAGAGGAGACGGAGGTCTGGAAGGGACTGGATTAGCCCGGCGCCCGTGCCCCTTCGTTTTACCCTGGCACGTTGGGGCTGGGTGGGGACAGGTCGGGGGCCACTGGTAGCCTCTTCTCTCTGCGGCGTGAGACTGCTGGGTGGTTTCCTTGCACGTCACCTCCTGGGGAAGCTTGGCCAGTTCCTACCTGCCCCTCCCTGGAACCTCTTCCCCTAAGACTACCCAGAGTAGGGGCCCTTCTCACCTCTCTTCCTGCCACACCTGTCCTGGAGAAGGGGCGGACAGCCTTGCTTCCTTGGCCCCTGGGTCTTTCCCCCTGGCCCCCGTTGCTGTCTGGCTCGCCTGGTGGTGGCGGCTCCTCCCTCCTTCCCTCTGGGGCTGGAGAGGGTACTCGGGAGGAGAAGCCCCAGCATTCCCTTGGGGGGAGCGGGGCGGGGCACAGCATGGAGGGCTGGGAACATGCTGCCCTGTGGGTCCTCCTGCGGGGGGCGCTGAGCAGGCCCGGCCCACCCCCCAGGTGGTGTACTACGTCTTCGCCATTCTGGGCATCAGCCTGTTTCGCGGCGTCATCGTGGCTCCTGGAAACGGCAGGTGAGGTGGGGCCTGAACTTCCCAAGGGGAGAAGTGCCTCTTGTGGGGACGGAGGGGCGTGAGGCGGGGTGGCAGTGTGGGGGTGGGCTCCCCGGGAGCAGGGGTGTCTCCTAGTCCCTCCTCCTTTGTCTCCCCTCCTTCCCCGCCCTGCCAGATGCCCTCACCCAGCATCTCTACCAAGTGTCTCTGAAGCCTTGTGGCGGCTCCCACCCCTGCACACCCCAGGCCAGGCCACAAGCTGGTGGAGGGGGCCCCGGAGCCAGACTTGGATCCCGCTGTCCCGAAGCTCCGTTTCCCACGCACGTCTGCAGCTCTTGGCTCCTGGCTGCTCTCACAGCACCTCTGGACGGGGGCCTCCTTTGCTCTCCGGCTTCTCCGGGCCCAGAGGGCTTCCAGCTGGGCAGGGGCTCAGGCAGGGCTGGGGTGCTGCATGGTCCGTGCCCCAGTCCCCACCCCTGACCCAGCTTGCCGTGTACCCGCAGCCTGAGCACTGACAACAGCTCGGCACCCTGCGGAAGCTTCGAGCAGCTGGAGTACTGGCCCAACAACTTCGATGACTTTGCGGTGAGCCCTGCACCCCCTGGTCCTCAGCGCCCTCGCCCTCCCGTCGCCCTGTCCCGGCCCCGCCGGACCCCGTGTCTGCCGCCCCGCAGGCCGCCCTCATCACTCTGTGGAACGTGATGGTGGTGAACAACTGGCAGGTGTTCCTGGAGGCCTATCGGCGCTACTCGGGCCCGTGAGCGACCCCGCCCCGTCCCTGCACAGTGTGTCCCCGGCCAGCACGGCCCTGCCATCCCCGCGCAGTGTGACCCCGGCCTGCATGGCCCCACCCTCTCCTCCGCTCAGTGTGACCCCAGCCAGCAGGGCCCTGCCCCATCTCTGTGCAGTGTGACCCGGGCCAGCAAGGCCCCGCCCTGTCCCCACGCAGTGTGACCCTGGCCGGCACGCCCCTGCCCTGTCCCCTGCACAGTGTGACCCCGGCCGGCACGCTCCTGCGCCGTCCCTGTGTAGTGTAACCCCGGCCGGCAAGGCCCCGCCCTGTCCCTGCGCAGTGTGACCCCGGCCGGCACGCCCCTGCGCTGTCCCTGTGCAGTGTGACCCCGGCCGGCATGGCCCCACCCTCTCCCCTGCACAGTGTGACCCTGGCCAGCACGACCCCGCCCTCTCTCCGTGCAGTGGGACCCCAGCCGGCATGCCCCTGTCCCCTGTCCCATTGGCACCGCTCCCGGCGGCCCACGTCTGGCATTCTTGTCTCCACAGGTGGTCGAAGATCTACTTTGTGTTGTGGTGGCTGGTGTCGTCTGTCATCTGGGTCAACCTGTTTTTGGCTCTGATCCTGGAGGTACCGGAGATCCCTGCCCAGGCTGTCTCATGGGTGGTTGCTGACTTGCCACAGACAGCTTGAGGCTGTTGGCCGGGCCCATCCAGAACGGGGCGGGAAGGGGGCTGTGCTGGGTCCCGGCTTGGTGCTGCTTCAGCTGGCTGCTGGGAGCCTCTTAGAATGTCCTTGACATTGGGCCTGTGGGGGTTTCAGCCTGTGGGTGGGGCTGGGGGAGACCTATCAGGCATCTGGCTCCTGCAGGAGTGGGTGGCCGTGTCGGGCCCTGGATCCCAGCGTCCGGGAGGGGCTTGGATCCCTGCAGTGGATGCCTGGCCCACACTGGAGGGGAAAAGGCTGGGTCACACGGGGCTTACACCCACTGGCCCCCCTGTTCTCCTGCTTGCCAGAATTTTCTTCACAAGTGGGACCGCCGCAGTCACCTGCAGTCCCTCGCTGGGGACCCGGACAGCACCTATCAGATGAGTGCAGAGCTCTTGTTCAGGTGTGTGGGTCAGGAAGGGTCTCTGGGGAGGGGAGGCAGGGAGTGGGCAGGGGGGTGTCCTCTGTGACAGCAGCATTCCTCCTGCCAGTTCTGCGTTGGGACCAGGGTCTGGGCTTCTTGTTCTCCTGGCGCTGGGGCTGGGACCTCTGTCTTGCTCTCCGATGAAGTTGTTTAAGACGGCATTCTCCGGTGTCAGTCTCCAGGGGATGCTGTTGGGGGAGGGGGTGGCCCTTACCTCCCCGCGGTGCAGGACAGTGGGATCGCCCAGAGAGCTGCGGCCATGCCTTCCCTCCCTGCACCTGCGCTGTGTCGTCGCAGCCCCTCTGCACCGGCACTGGCCAGCCTGGAGGGCCACCCCCACCCCCGGCCTCCAACCCCGGGCTTTTAGGGACGCCCCGCATACGTCCTGGAGATGGATCTAAGTCCCCGTGCTCCCTTGGGCACGTGTCTGATGATTCCTAAATGAGGAGCAGGGCGGCCCACCCTCCCGGAGCTGCCCGAGTCCGCCCTCTCCAGAGCTCCCTGCACATCTCCCCGATTCCCCAGGGAGGTCCTGGAGGAGCCGACCGAGGACGAGCTCATGGAGAAGCTGAGCCACCACCCGCACCTGCGGCTGTGCAGGTGACGTCCAGGTGCGCCGTCCCGGCGAGGGCGGCGGGGGGCCCTGTTGCCTCAGGACCGACGCCGTTGTGGGAGGAGGCGGAGGCCGCCCTGAAGGAGAGGAAGGAGAGACTTTCAATTAGATGGACTAACGGACGGGTGGACGGACGGAACTCCGCCACCCACCCTAGGCTGGGGCTGAGAGCAGAGGCCCCGGGTCACTGCTGATCCGAACCACTAACCACCACCAGCTTTTCTTGGTGGCACCCGAGTGGGCTGCTTGAACTTTGTGTGGCGTCTGGGCCACGCCGCTCTCTTCGTAAGCTGGCTTCGGCAGGACTTCAGCTTCTCTGAGTCCTGGAAGAGGGTGACTCCTCAGGGACTCTCAAGACTGAGCAGCGGGAAGCAGCGACCTTCCTTCCAGAGCCTGTGATTTCCGTGGTGCCTTCACTGCTGGTGGCTTTCGGGGACCAGAGGCCCGCCTGGGGCCCGTGCAGGCCAGCCAGCAGCTTCCCAGGGCATTAGGTTTGGGATCCTGGTGGTTTTACGTGAGGAGGATCTTAACCATTTTATTATTTAACGGTTCGTGTGAGTGTGATTGGGTGTATTTCTTTATGGGTCAGAATGCCAATAGTTTTTATCCTGAAGTCTTGCAAAGAGCGAGGTTGTCGTTCTTTACTGGGACACAACTCTGTTCCTGCTTCTCTGGAACAGGGTGGCCAGGTGAGGTGGTTTAGGTTGTGCACTACAAACCTGGCTGCAGGGGTGTGTCCAGCCACTGGGACATCTCCCCATGGTGAGGGCTCTCTTCTTCTAATTTGTGTAAAGGCCCGTATGAGCCAGTGGTGGCTCTCCTTTACGTGTCCACAGGGATGTGGCAGAAGAGGCTAGTAGGTCGGGGAGGAGGGAAAGTGAGTGATGTGTGGCTGGCCACTTTGTCCCTTGAGCCACCCTGGGTTCGGACTAACAAATGGTTTTCTCATTTCAAGGGCCAACTCGAGTGATGGGTGGGAGCTGCTGGAGATCTGCGGAGAAGGACTGGAGTCCTTGCGGACAGTAACACTGGGAGTGGTTAGCGGTGTCTGCTGTGGGTGCTGACCCCTTGGGGGCGGGGGGACGAGAGCATGGGTGCAGACTCCACGGCGGGGAGCGATTGCCTCTGTCTTCCCAGCTGGTCTGGGAAATGGGATTAGAGGAAAGTAACTAGAAAAAGGAGCTTCTAAGATGTCCAGAAACCTCAGTGCTCTGGGGAATATGTTTCAGGGGCCCAAGAACATCGTAGTTTCTGATCTTGGAGTTGGTCTGAGATCTGGCTCCTTGACGTTGCTGCCCCTCAGGTTTGGGGGCTCTTTGGGCGCTGTGAGGACTCTCCCAGACCTGTCCCCTCTGCAGGCTGCCTTCTGGGAGAGCTGGTTTTGGACGGGGGCACCTTGTGGAGCAGTGGGTTAGAAGTGTGCCCCCAGCCTGTCTTGGCAGAGCCCCGCTGGCCCTGGGGACGAGGGTGAGGCCCCTGGTCAGCTGCTGTGCGCACCTGCGGTGGGGTCATTCCTCCGCCCCTGCCCTGAGGTCTGAGCGCCATCTGGTGGCAGGATCTGGTTCACATTTAATGCAAGCTGGACCCCATGACCCTCAGGGGGAGCTCACGGCTTTCCCCGGGCCAGCTGGAGGCGGGGAGCCCAGCCTCACTGTCTGGGCCGCAGGCTTGGCCACCTGCAAGAGCTCGTTCCAGTGGCTGCTTGCCAGGTGGGATGTCACGTTCTCTGCCCTGCCTTGTGCAGGTCCCTGAAGGTCTGCCTTCCTGTTTCCTGGCCTGTGTGCAGAGAAGTCCCCTCTGATCCTTACCGTCACGTGGCGCTGAGTTCTGGATGACCCACGTTGGACTCTGGCACACCGTGCTGTTCCGAGGCTGACGCTGCCCTCAGGATGGGGTGGCCGGTGCTGGGGCCATTGGGCTGGTGTCTTCTGACCACAAGCTGGTGTCTCTGGGATGCTCTGGGTCAGGGGCACTGACTGTCCCATCTGTCAGTTTCAAATGGCATCGGCCACCAGGCCTTTGTCCCCCTGAGAATCGGGGCTGACTTCACAGCTGAGCTGGGGCTCGGTTTTGGTTAAGGGGAGCAGGGCTGGTGGGGGTCTCCTGGTCTGCAGTGGTCCCAGTGCCCCTCCCCCCACCATCCTGTCCCCAGCTTGGGTGCTGCACTGGGTAAAACCCATTTGAGAAAGGGCATGTGCTTATGTGTCTCAGATGAGCCCTTGCAGCTCTGGTGGGGCTCGTGGTGTTTTTTTGTGGCTGTGGGGGCTCGGGCCCACTAGCCCCTGGAGTCCCCCAGGGCCATGCAGGAGTCTGGGACACTTGGAGTGGTATCACTGCCCCGGGGAGGTGGGAGGAGGCAGGAGCAGGAAGCCGCTGTGCCCAGGGGAGCCCTGTGGCTCCGGTCAGGCTCTGAGGAGGGCCCTGTGTGTCCGCAGGCTGGGGAGCCCTGGGCTGGGTGTCAGCGAGAAGCGCCATGGAGGCAGCTGGCCTGGTGGAGGGGGGCAGGCCCAGGGGGAGAAGGGCACGGGCTCGGGTGCCCGCTGGGGAGGGGCCATGGGTGGGGCAGGGTGGTGTGGGTGCCTGTGGGCTCAGAGCCGCACACACCAAATAGCAGGGCCTTAGCTCCTAATCATTGATGGCCCTGGAGTGTGGGCGACGCTGGGACCTGGGTGGGCACCCAAGCCACAGCCTGCCTGGGAGGCCTGGGTCCTGCCTAGCAACAACTTGCAGCCTCCACGTTTTGTGGGGGGGGGAGGGTGTCTCACGTCCCGCCTGCCCGGCTCAGGGCCATCAGCTGCCCCGGGCCCCTGAAGGTGAGCTGCTTCCAGGTCCTGCACTGACCAGGAGGGCTGCGAAGCTCTCGTGCTGAGCTTCCCCGTGGAGGCCCCTGCCCTCTCTGGGGAGCTCTGGAAGGACACAGTTGCCATTTCTGGGTGGGGTGGAGGGGGCAGGCAGAGCAGGAGTTGTCTCCTGTTTAACAACAGCACGGAGGGAGCTGCGGCTCAGGAAGAAGTTGCAAGTAGAGCTTTCTTCCGGAGTCAGTGGAGGGGAAGCTGTGGTTCCGGTGCCTTTCACCCTCCCTGCTTCAGGGAGGGCCTCCCGCAGACGGCCGCGCAGGGACCGGGTCGCCGTGGGTTCCTGCCGGCCGGCGCTCACTGGGTTCATGGCTGTTCTAAGCCTCCAGTCTGGTCCTCGGGCCCCCAGGGTCGCCAGTAATCTTCCCAGACAGGTGACCTTGGCACTCGTGAAGGCCGCCCAGTGATTGTGTGGGAAGGTCCCCAGGCTGGGTTTATGCAGGGTGTCCTCATGCGCTTGATTCTGCGGTTTTTGCAGGAATAGCCCAGAAGCGCATCCGGGTGGGCGGTGTGAAATTTCCATTTGCCCCGTGGCTGTGCCTTCCCTGTCACTTGGTGGTGGCAGCGGCTGCTGGGCTGCCCAGCCTCAAGCTGCTCCTTCTCCCTTTATGACGAAGGGGGTTCTTTGAAGCTCTGAGCATCCACCAACCCAGCTTCGCCTCGTTGCTGCTCCTCCCGCGTTCCTCTGCGCGCACCCCGCTTCCTTCTGCTTGGTGGGTCGTGTGGAGGCTGTTGCTGGATTTTACTTCATGCCCAGATTCTCCCTCAGCCAGTGGGAACCACTTCTTCTGGCTTTCGTGTCCGTTTGCCGTCTTTTGAGCGCTGCTTTGCTTTGGGGCCTGAAAAGATGTTCCGGGTTCGTTTTGCGTCTTCTCCGGCCCAGCTCCGGAAGCAGCCGTTGCTCTAAGGGGCCCTGCTCCTTTCGGCAGGAATAGCGTCGAGGAACCAAGATGTCGGTGTGAGCTGTGCCTCCTGCTATTGGGGCATCGCTGTATGCAGGTTCTCTTGGTACATGGAGCTAGGGGAAGTGTGAGTGCGTCTGTCCATGTGACTGTCTGTTCGTCTCTCCATCCATCTCTTGGTTCGTCTGTCTGTCCCAACTGTCCAAATGTCCATCCGTCTTATGGTCCATCATCCATCCTTCCATCTATCCATCTGTCCTTTGGTTGTCTGTCCATCTGTCCATCCATTCATCCGTCCATCCGTCTGTCCATCCATCCATCCATCCATGCATTGGTCCATCCGTTCTTCCATCTGACCATCCAGTCCATCCATTCATCCGTCCGTCCATCCATCCGTCCGGCTCTGGCGGGATCCTGGTGGTGAGTCCGGCCAGCGGGCTCTGGCCAGCGGGGGGTGCGGCACGAGCGGAGCCGCCTGTGGGTTCCGGTGAGTCTGAGCGAGGCTGGCTGGCCGCTCTGGAGGAAGGAGGGCCCTGTGTTAGGGGTGGCTTTAGGGCTGCGTCAGCCCGGGAGGCCAGAATGTTCCCTGGACCCTGGGGCTGGTCCTGACCATGCTGCCGTTCCCTGCTGGAGGTGCGTCGGTCACTTTTTATTCCCCATGCGTGTTGATCGCAGGCCATACTGGGACACTGATTTTGAAAAGTGTGAGAGGCATTAGGGATCCCCGAGGCCCATGTAGACCCCAGATGGGGCTTTGGTCAGCCCTCCCTGCGCAGTGGGATCTCGGGAACTCACAGCCGTGGTGGCTGAGGACAAACCACGGCATCCCCCCAGCTCCAGACCGAGCCTTGCCACTGAGCTGCTGTTGGCTCTGCCCTGTCACCCCGCTCAGGGGGACCCCTGGTGCTGCTCTAGGTGTGAAGCCCCACAGAGGAGACGGAGGTCTGGAAGGGACTGGATTAGCCCGGCGCCCGTGCCCCTTCGTTTTACCCTGGCACGTTGGGGCTGGGTGGGGACAGGTCGGGGGCCACTGGTAGCCTCTTCTCTCTGCGGCGTGAGACTGCTGGGTGGTTTCCTTGCACGTCACCTCCTGGGGAAGCTTGGCCAGTTCCTACCTGCCCCTCCCTGGAACCTCTTCCCCTAAGACTACCCAGAGTAGGGGCCCTTCTCACCTCTCTTCCTGCCACACCTGTCCTGGAGAAGGGGCGGACAGCCTTGCTTCCTTGGCCCCTGGGTCTTTCCCCCTGGCCCCCGTTGCTGTCTGGCTCGCCTGGTGGTGGCGGCTCCTCCCTCCTTCCCTCTGGGGCTGGAGAGGGTACTCGGGAGGAGAAGCCCCAGCATTCCCTTGGGGGGAGCGGGGCGGGGCACAGCATGGAGGGCTGGGAACATGCTGCCCTGTGGGTCCTCCTGCGGGGGGCGCTGAGCAGGCCCGGCCCACCCCCCAGGTGGTGTACTACGTCTTCGCCATTCTGGGCATCAGCCTGTTTCGCGGCGTCATCGTGGCTCCTGGAAACGGCAGGTGAGGTGGGGCCTGAACTTCCCAAGGGGAGAAGTGCCTCTTGTGGGGACGGAGGGGCGTGAGGCGGGGTGGCAGTGTGGGGGTGGGCTCCCCGGGAGCAGGGGTGTCTCCTAGTCCCTCCTCCTTTGTCTCCCCTCCTTCCCCGCCCTGCCAGATGCCCTCACCCAGCATCTCTACCAAGTGTCTCTGAAGCCTTGTGGCGGCTCCCACCCCTGCACACCCCAGGCCAGGCCACAAGCTGGTGGAGGGGGCCCCGGAGCCAGACTTGGATCCCGCTGTCCCGAAGCTCCGTTTCCCACGCACGTCTGCAGCTCTTGGCTCCTGGCTGCTCTCACAGCACCTCTGGACGGGGGCCTCCTTTGCTCTCCGGCTTCTCCGGGCCCAGAGGGCTTCCAGCTGGGCAGGGGCTCAGGCAGGGCTGGGGTGCTGCATGGTCCGTGCCCCAGTCCCCACCCCTGACCCAGCTTGCCGTGTACCCGCAGCCTGAGCACTGACAACAGCTCGGCACCCTGCGGAAGCTTCGAGCAGCTGGAGTACTGGCCCAACAACTTCGATGACTTTGCGGTGAGCCCTGCACCCCCTGGTCCTCAGCGCCCTCGCCCTCCCGTCGCCCTGTCCCGGCCCCGCCGGACCCCGTGTCTGCCGCCCCGCAGGCCGCCCTCATCACTCTGTGGAACGTGATGGTGGTGAACAACTGGCAGGTGTTCCTGGAGGCCTATCGGCGCTACTCGGGCCCGTGAGCGACCCCGCCCCGTCCCTGCACAGTGTGTCCCCGGCCAGCACGGCCCTGCCATCCCCGCGCAGTGTGACCCCGGCCTGCATGGCCCCACCCTCTCCTCCGCTCAGTGTGACCCCAGCCAGCAGGGCCCTGCCCCATCTCTGTGCAGTGTGACCCGGGCCAGCAAGGCCCCGCCCTGTCCCCACGCAGTGTGACCCTGGCCGGCACGCCCCTGCCCTGTCCCCTGCACAGTGTGACCCCGGCCGGCACGCTCCTGCGCCGTCCCTGTGTAGTGTAACCCCGGCCGGCAAGGCCCCGCCCTGTCCCTGCGCAGTGTGACCCCGGCCGGCACGCCCCTGCGCTGTCCCTGTGCAGTGTGACCCCGGCCGGCATGGCCCCACCCTCTCCCCTGCACAGTGTGACCCTGACCAGCACGACCCCGCCCTCTCTCCGTGCAGTGGGACCCCAGCCGGCATGCCCCTGTCCCCTGTCCCATTGGCACCGCTCCCGGCGGCCCACGTCTGGCATTCTTGTCTCCACAGGTGGTCGAAGATCTACTTTGTGTTGTGGTGGCTGGTGTCGTCTGTCATCTGGGTCAACCTGTTTTTGGCTCTGATCCTGGAGGTACCGGAGATCCCTGCCCAGGCTGTCTCATGGGTGGTTGCTGACTTGCCACAGACAGCTTGAGGCTGTTGGCCGGGCCCATCCAGAACGGGGCGGGAAGGGGGCTGTGCTGGGTCCCGGCTTGGTGCTGCTTCAGCTGGCTGCTGGGAGCCTCTTAGAATGTCCTTGACATTGGGCCTGTGGGGGTTTCAGCCTGTGGGTGGGGCTGGGGGAGACCTATCAGGCATCTGGCTCCTGCAGGAGTGGGTGGCCGTGTCGGGCCCTGGATCCCAGCGTCCGGGAGGGGCTTGGATCCCTGCAGTGGATGCCTGGCCCACACTGGAGGGGAAAAGGCTGGGTCACACGGGGCTTACACCCACTGGCCCCCCTGTTCTCCTGCTTGCCAGAATTTTCTTCACAAGTGGGACCGCCGCAGTCACCTGCAGTCCCTCGCTGGGGACCCGGACAGCACCTATCAGATGAGTGCAGAGCTCTTGTTCAGGTGTGTGGGTCAGGAAGGGTCTCTGGGGAGGGGAGGCAGGGAGTGGGCAGGGGGGTGTCCTCTGTGACAGCAGCATTCCTCCTGCCAGTTCTGCGTTGGGACCAGGGTCTGGGCTTCTTGTTCTCCTGGCGCTGGGGCTGGGACCTCTGTCTTGCTCTCCGATGAAGTTGTTTAAGACGGCATTCTCCGGTGTCAGTCTCCAGGGGATGCTGTTGGGGGAGGGGGTGGCCCTTACCTCCCCGCGGTGCAGGACAGTGGGATCGCCCAGAGAGCTGCGGCCATGCCTTCCCTCCCTGCACCTGCGCTGTGTCGTCGCAGCCCCTCTGCACCGGCACTGGCCAGCCTGGAGGGCCACCCCCACCCCCGGCCTCCAACCCCGGGCTTTTAGGGACGCCCCGCATACGTCCTGGAGATGGATCTAAGTCCCCGTGCTCCCTTGGGCACGTGTCTGATGATTCCTAAATGAGGAGCAGGGCGGCCCACCCTCCCGGAGCTGCCCGAGTCCGCCCTCTCCAGAGCTCCCTGCACATCTCCCCGATTCCCCAGGGAGGTCCTGGAGGAGCCGACCGAGGACGAGCTCATGGAGAAGCTGAGCCACCACCCGCACCTGCGGCTGTGCAGGTGACGTCCAGGTGCGCCGTCCCGGCGAGGGCGGCGGGGGGCCCTGTTGCCTCAGGACCGACGCCGTTGTGGGAGGAGGCGGAGGCCGCCCTGAAGGAGAGGAAGGAGAGACTTTCAATTAGATGGACTAACGGACGGGTGGACGGACGGAACTCCGCCACCCACCCTAGGCTGGGGCTGAGAGCAGAGGCCCCGGGTCACTGCTGATCCGAACCACTAACCACCACCAGCTTTTCTTGGTGGCACCCGAGTGGGCTGCTTGAACTTTGTGTGGCGTCTGGGCCACGCCGCTCTCTTCGTAAGCTGGCTTCGGCAGGACTTCAGCTTCTCTGAGTCCTGGAAGAGGGTGACTCCTCAGGGACTCTCAAGACTGAGCAGCGGGAAGCAGCGACCTTCCTTCCAGAGCCTGTGATTTCCGTGGTGCCTTCACTGCTGGTGGCTTTCGGGGACCAGAGGCCCGCCTGGGGCCCGTGCAGGCCAGCCAGCAGCTTCCCAGGGCATTAGGTTTGGGATCCTGGTGGTTTTACGTGAGGAGGATCTTAACCATTTTATTATTTAACGGTTCGTGTGAGTGTGATTGGGTGTATTTCTTTATGGGTCAGAATGCCAATAGTTTTTATCCTGAAGTCTTGCAAAGAGCGAGGTTGTCGTTCTTTACTGGGACACAACTCTGTTCCTGCTTCTCTGGAACAGGGTGGCCAGGTGAGGTGGTTTAGGTTGTGCACTACAAACCTGGCTGCAGGGGTGTGTCCAGCCACTGGGACATCTCCCCATGGTGAGGGCTCTCTTCTTCTAATTTGTGTAAAGGCCCGTATGAGCCAGTGGTGGCTCTCCTTTACGTGTCCACAGGGATGTGGCAGAAGAGGCTAGTAGGTCGGGGAGGAGGGAAAGTGAGTGATGTGTGGCTGGCCACTTTGTCCCTTGAGCCACCCTGGGTTCGGACTAACAAATGGTTTTCTCATTTCAAGGGCCAACTCGAGTGATGGGTGGGAGCTGCTGGAGATCTGCGGAGAAGGACTGGAGTCCTTGCGGACAGTAACACTGGGAGTGGTTAGCGGTGTCTGCTGTGGGTGCTGACCCCTTGGGGGCGGGGGGACGAGAGCATGGGTGCAGACTCCACGGCGGGGAGCGATTGCCTCTGTCTTCCCAGCTGGTCTGGGAAATGGGATTAGAGGAAAGTAACTAGAAAAAGGAGCTTCTAAGATGTCCAGAAACCTCAGTGCTCTGGGGAATATGTTTCAGGGGCCCAAGAACATCGTAGTTTCTGATCTTGGAGTTGGTCTGAGATCTGGCTCCTTGACGTTGCTGCCCCTCAGGTTTGGGGGCTCTTTGGGCGCTGTGAGGACTCTCCCAGACCTGTCCCCTCTGCAGGCTGCCTTCTGGGAGAGCTGGTTTTGGACGGGGGCACCTTGTGGAGCAGTGGGTTAGAAGTGTGCCCCCAGCCTGTCTTGGCAGAGCCCCGCTGGCCCTGGGGACGAGGGTGAGGCCCCTGGTCAGCTGCTGTGCGCACCTGCGGTGGGGTCATTCCTCCGCCCCTGCCCTGAGGTCTGAGCGCCATCTGGTGGCAGGATCTGGTTCACATTTAATGCAAGCTGGACCCCATGACCCTCAGGGGGAGCTCACGGCTTTCCCCGGGCCAGCTGGAGGCGGGGAGCCCAGCCTCACTGTCTGGGCCGCAGGCTTGGCCACCTGCAAGAGCTCGTTCCAGTGGCTGCTTGCCAGGTGGGATGTCACGTTCTCTGCCCTGCCTTGTGCAGGTCCCTGAAGGTCTGCCTTCCTGTTTCCTGGCCTGTGTGCAGAGAAGTCCCCTCTGATCCTTACCGTCACGTGGCGCTGAGTTCTGGATGACCCACGTTGGACTCTGGCACACCGTGCTGTTCCGAGGCTGACGCTGCCCTCAGGATGGGGTGGCCGGTGCTGGGGCCATTGGGCTGGTGTCTTCTGACCACAAGCTGGTGTCTCTGGGATGCTCTGGGTCAGGGGCACTGACTGTCCCATCTGTCAGTTTCAAATGGCATCGGCCACCAGGCCTTTGTCCCCCTGAGAATCGGGGCTGACTTCACAGCTGAGCTGGGGCTCGGTTTTGGTTAAGGGGAGCAGGGCTGGTGGGGGTCTCCTGGTCTGCAGTGGTCCCAGTGCCCCTCCCCCCACCATCCTGTCCCCAGCTTGGGTGCTGCACTGGGTAAAACCCATTTGAGAAAGGGCATGTGCTTATGTGTCTCAGATGAGCCCTTGCAGCTCTGGTGGGGCTCGTGGTGTTTTTTTGTGGCTGTGGGGGCTCGGGCCCACTAGCCCCTGGAGTCCCCCAGGGCCATGCAGGAGTCTGGGACACTTGGAGTGGTATCACTGCCCCGGGGAGGTGGGAGGAGGCAGGAGCAGGAAGCCGCTGTGCCCAGGGGAGCCCTGTGGCTCCGGTCAGGCTCTGAGGAGGGCCCTGTGTGTCCGCAGGCTGGGGAGCCCTGGGCTGGGTGTCAGCGAGAAGCGCCATGGAGGCAGCTGGCCTGGTGGAGGGGGGCAGGCCCAGGGGGAGAAGGGCACGGGCTCGGGTGCCCGCTGGGGAGGGGCCATGGGTGGGGCAGGGTGGTGTGGGTGCCTGTGGGCTCAGAGCCGCACACACCAAATAGCAGGGCCTTAGCTCCTAATCATTGATGGCCCTGGAGTGTGGGCGACGCTGGGACCTGGGTGGGCACCCAAGCCACAGCCTGCCTGGGAGGCCTGGGTCCTGCCTAGCAACAACTTGCAGCCTCCACGTTTTGTGGGGGGGGAGGGTGTCTCACGTCCCGCCTGCCCGGCTCAGGGCCATCAGCTGCCCCGGGCCCCTGAAGGTGAGCTGCTTCCAGGTCCTGCACTGACCAGGAGGGCTGCGAAGCTCTCGTGCTGAGCTTCCCCGTGGAGGCCCCTGCCCTCTCTGGGGAGCTCTGGAAGGACACAGTTGCCATTTCTGGGTGGGGTGGAGGGGGCAGGCAGAGCAGGAGTTGTCTCCTGTTTAACAACAGCACGGAGGGAGCTGCGGCTCAGGAAGAAGTTGCAAGTAGAGCTTTCTTCCGGAGTCAGTGGAGGGGAAGCTGTGGTTCCGGTGCCTTTCACCCTCCCTGCTTCAGGGAGGGCCTCCCGCAGACGGCCGCGCAGGGACCGGGTCGCCGTGGGTTCCTGCCGGCCGGCGCTCACTGGGTTCATGGCTGTTCTAAGCCTCCAGTCTGGTCCTCGGGCCCCCAGGGTCGCCAGTAATCTTCCCAGACAGGTGACCTTGGCACTCGTGAAGGCCGCCCAGTGATTGTGTGGGAAGGTCCCCAGGCTGGGTTTATGCAGGGTGTCCTCATGCGCTTGATTCTGCGGTTTTTGCAGGAATAGCCCAGAAGCGCATCCGGGTGGGCGGTGTGAAATTTCCATTTGCCCCGTGGCTGTGCCTTCCCTGTCACTTGGTGGTGGCAGCGGCTGCTGGGCTGCCCAGCCTCAAGCTGCTCCTTCTCCCTTTATGACGAAGGGGGTTCTTTGAAGCTCTGAGCATCCACCAACCCAGCTTCGCCTCGTTGCTGCTCCTCCCGCGTTCCTCTGCGCGCACCCCGCTTCCTTCTGCTTGGTGGGTCGTGTGGAGGCTGTTGCTGGATTTTACTTCATGCCCAGATTCTCCCTCAGCCAGTGGGAACCACTTCTTCTGGCTTTCGTGTCCGTTTGCCGTCTTTTGAGCGCTGCTTTGCTTTGGGGCCTGAAAAGATGTTCCGGGTTCGTTTTGCGTCTTCTCCGGCCCAGCTCCGGAAGCAGCCGTTGCTCTAAGGGGCCCTGCTCCTTTCGGCAGGAATAGCGTCGAGGAACCAAGATGTCGGTGTGAGCTGTGCCTCCTGCTATTGGGGCATCGCTGTATGCAGGTTCTCTTGGTACATGGAGCTAGGGGAAGTGTGAGTGCGTCTGTCCATGTGACTGTCTGTTCGTCTCTCCATCCATCTCTTGGTTCGTCTGTCTGTCCCAACTGTCCATATGTCCATCCGTCTTATGGTCCATCATCCATCCTTCCATCTATCCATCTGTCCTTTGGTTGTCTGTCCATCTGTCCATCCATTCATCCGTCCATCCGTCTGTCCATCCATCCATCCATCCATGCATTGGTCCATCCGTTCTTCCATCTGACCATCCAGTCCATCCATTCATCCGTCCGTCCATCCATCCGTCCGTCCATCCATCCGTCCACCCATCTGCATCCATCTGTCCATCCATCCATCCGTCCGTCTGTCCATCCATCCATGCATTGGTCCATTCATCTGTCCATCCGTTCATCCATCTGTCCATCCGTCCGTCCATCCATCCGTCCGTCCATCCATCCGTCCGTCCATCCATCTGTCCGTCCGTCCATCCATCCATTCATCCATTCATCCGCCCATCCATCCATCCAGTCTATTAATAGCTATGAGATCACGCTAATACCTCCATTTTCAAATCAACACCACAAGGTGTGTCTGGTTTTCTCTCTGCAGGTTTGTAAGCCCTTTATTTCTGAATGGTTCCCGTCCATCTGTGCACTCACTTGATTAGTTCTGTAAATACTCCTCTCCCATTGCCGCTGCCACCTCCTCCCCACAGAGACCCCCTCCTCGCCCCATGTGGGTGCCCTTCAGATGCCCTCCAACCACAGACCTGCAGGAAAGAGCTTTCTAGATGGAGATGGTACTGGCAGGCTTTTTCAAACTGGGAATAGTAAAATTAGAATCTGGCCAGCTCATTAAAACCAAGTAAGTTAAAAAAGGAAACATTAGAAGAAATATTTCTACTTTTTTTAAAAGATTTTACTTATTTATTTGACAGAGATCACAAGTAGGCAGAGGCAGGCAGAGAGAGAGAGGGAAGCAGGCTCCCTGCTGAGCAGAGAGCCCAATTCGGGACTTGATGCTAGGACCCTGGGATCATGACCTGAGCTGAAGGCAGAGGCTTTAACCCACTGAGCCACCCAGGCGCCCAATGTTTCTATTCACAAATAACATGATTGCCCAAATAGAAAGGCTAAAATTATTGAACACTAAGAATTCAGCAAAACAGCTTGCTGTAAGAGTAATCCACTGAAATCGGCCGCTTTTCGAAACACGAGCAACAAACTCATAAGTCTCCTTTAAAAGATACCAAAAAAGGTACTATGGTACTATCTACCCGAGAGTAAAACCTTTGGGGTCCTTAAAGATACACTGAACGTGGGATATTCAAGGTCTGCATACAGGAAACTGTAAAATGTCGTTCAAGTCCAGGGCTGTGGACTCTTGCGAGGGGCACACGCTGGGTCTTGTTACCACCCGATCACGGCTCTGCGGGCCCAGCTGCGCTGGCGCTCTTCACGGTGGGGCAGGGGTTGTGACTCACCTGGGTTCTCTGGGAAGAGCCCTTGCCTACGCTCGTTCGGGTCGTCAGCCAGAGTCTGTTTCCGAGGCAAGAGGGCTGAGGCTGTAGGTAATAGCACTTGGTGTGACCCCATTTCCTCGTTGGCTGTCCACGGAGGGTGGCTCTTAGGAATTGGAGGCTGCCTGTGTCCCCAGCCCCACAGCCTCCAAACCTCAGTCAACAACAGAGGACCTGCTGCGAGTCCAGTCTCTCCCCCTTCGCGCCTCTTCTCCAGGAAGAGCCCTGACCCCTTACACACTCACCAGATTAGGTCAGG